CACATTAGTAACACACACGTGAACCCACCACACATACACATGTCCATCACGTTGGCATGTCATGATAACCTCACACGTGCACCCACCACACACACACACGTGCATTAGTAACACACACGTGAACCCACCACACATACACGTGCCCATCACGTTGGCATGTCATGATAACCTCACACGTGCACCCACCACACACACGTGCATTAGTAACACACATGTGAACCCACCACACATACACGTGCCCATCACGTTGGCATGTCATGATAACCTCACACGTGCACCCACCACACACATGTGCATTAGTAACACACATGTGAACCCACCACACATACATGTGTCCATCACGTTGGCGTGCCATGATAACCTCACACGCGCACTAGCTGTTGGCATGCTTACTGATTACATGCACATGCCCTGATAACACACGTACACTAACTACATGTGTGCACGATAATGTGGACCAAGCACACACGTGTATCACATGTGTACATGCTAACCACGTGCATGTACTAGCACAGGCTCATGCAATAACCGCATGTGTGGACATGACTAACACACCTGTGGGCCAGCCGTGTGTGTGCCTGCTCACTGCACATGTACACTAGCTGCAGCACCCTGGCCACACGAGTGTGCCCTCACCACACATACATGCATTAATTACAAGGGTGCGTGTTGGAGCATGTGTGTGGGCCAGTCACACGTGTGCACACAGCCGCACATGGGCACTCACGACAGCCTTGCCCACTAGTCACATGCATGTGTACTGACCATGCACACATGCACCAGCCCACATGGGCCACACACTGTGCACGAACCACATACACATGTCTGCACATTAACATCAAGCATGTGGACTAGCCACACACATACACCGGTCACACATGTGCGTGCTAAACACATACTTGCATGAGCTAGAAGCATGCTCACTGATCACACATGTTAACCACACACATGCACCCACACTATGACCTAACCACGTGTATACATGTTAGTGACATGTATGTTGACCAGCCACACATGCACGCACCAGTCACAGGTGTCATGCTAGCCACACACGTGCACTAAGCACGCCCACCGATCCACCTACATTAATCACACACACGTGCACCAGCCCACACTGTTCACACACATGAACTCATCACATCTGTGCATATTCACAACATGTATGTCGACCAGCCACACATGCATGCACCAGTCATGCATGTGCACACTAACTACACGTGTGCAGCAGCTCCAGTCTTGCTCACTGGCCACAGGCACACAGAATAACTACTTGCGTGCACATTGGTAACGCACGTGTGGGCCAGCCACACACCCACACTGCCCACCACACCCCTCAGTGGGCTCACTGTCCAAGGACACACACTGCCCTCCTGCTGCACGGACCCTCCACCCTGAAGTGCCTGCTGCCCTCCCCAGCACCCACCTCTCATAGCCACCACCCCTCGCTCTGCCTTTCCCAGCACAGACTCTCAATCACCTAAATGAAGAAAGGACAAGGGAGGCTTAAGGGCTGTAGTCACAGCCTGCTGGGGGACAGCCCCCACCAGCAGGAGGGCAGAAGTGCCACTGGCAAAGGGCTGTGCCCAATGTCTGGGCCTCTGCGCCCTCTGCTCCCACAGATGGTGCCATGTGCAGACACTTGGGCAAGAGCGCATGCCACGGGGTCCCCTAACACTCAGTGCCCCGGTCCACTCACCCCCATCAGCACAGAGAACACCCAGGTCTTGGAACTGAAGCAGGGCGGGAGGCGCCGGGACAGCTGCAGGTCGTTGGGCTTAGCGTCTGGGCCGAAGCTCGGGGTATCTGTCCGGCCTCGCTCCAGGGTGGGCATCCGGTCATAGCTGAACTCCTCGCGGTACGGTTCGTCCCGGGCCATGGAGACAGGAGGGCCGGCCCTGCGGGGCAGCGCCCTCACCAATGCTCACGTACCTGCCACCGCGTGCAGCAAAGTCCCCTGAGGACAAAGTGGTTCCCAACAAATACTTGTCCTGACATTTCTCTGCAAACGTGCGCTCCAGGACACACAGAATCCTCAGTACCAGAGCCTCCGTCGCACAAGACAGCCTCCACCCCTCAGCACATGCCT